GCACCCACGCCGGGACGAGGGCGGAGGAGACGGACGGTCCCGCTGGAGGAAGGAGGGGGGGTGGAGAGGATTGGGGGAGCCCCTCCCAGCCCCCAGCTGCACCTCTATTCCGTGCCCCTTGCAAGGGGGGGCGGCGACCCCTCCTGGGAAGCGCGGGCTCGGCCTCCAGGGTGCACCCTGCAGCAGGGCAGCGCCTTTGCAAGCTGCCCCCTCCCCCAGCCCACCCCCTTGCAGCCCCTGGCCCTGGCAAGGGGGCTTTACCTGGCTCTGCTGCAAGGGCAGGCGGGGGGGAGGCCACCAGCCCAGGGGTCCTGCATGGGGGGGCCTGGAGCCCGCTCAAGGCCGGCTGCACTGCATGGCTATGGCTGCTGCTGCTGCTGGAGAGAATGGAGCCCCGCGCAGGCGCACTCGGCCCCGCGGGGCCAGACGGCCGCTAGTGCGCATGCGCCCGCTCCCACCCAGCCCTCACCAGGGGATTCTTCACGCATGCGTGCTGCTTCCTCCCCGCGTTGACCATAGAGCGCCCGCGCGCAGCTAGAGCGGCTCCCGCATGGAAGTCCTCCACGCGCGCGGCGGGGAGATGAGGTCAGTGTTGGCCCTGCGCGTGCGCAATGGAGTGCCCGGATGTCGACAAGGGGTGGGTAGAGGGGAAGGTGTGGAGTACGACTTCGGGGGAACTACTACATTCCCTCCCCCCCGGCCTACAGGGCATGCTGCTAGGGAATCCTTCCGGGGCAAAGGTCGAGGCCTCACCCACTTCCGGAACAGAAGGGGAGCGGAGCTGACTCTAAAAGGGACAGGCGACTCTTAAAGGAGCCCGCCCCCTGCTGGACACAGGGAGATCCCAGGGGCCTGGTGGTGGCACTGAGCCCCCCCCACCCCACCCCCAACCTGCCACTGGGGGCGGGGGGGAGTAGGAGCTTTGACCTGCATTGACGGCCTACCAGCATTGCCCTCCAAGACCCAGCTCCTGGAGTCCCATGATCAGCCCTGCCTGCACGCCTGGGATCATGGCTGCGGGTGCCCCTGTGGCACGAGACAGCGGCTCCCACACAGTGACAGGGCAAGAAACCCCCTGCTGGGCTGGAAAGCAGCTTTGTGAGTGGAAGATGAAGACCATTAAAAGGAGAGAGGGTCTGTAACACCTGTAGAGCGAAGAGTTTACAAGGAATCAAACAGATGACAATGAGCCGTGAAGTCGAGCAACTCCCACGGCCCTGCCTGGCTAGGGATGTTGCTACAAAGCAGGGGTCGAGTGCACCAGGGCACTCACCTGGATCCACCCCTGCCTGCCTGAACCACAGACATGCAGGGGTCAGGTCAAACCATCCTGAAACCTGTCCAGACAGAGTTGCCGATTCAGACTCTCACAGGGTTGAAGGGACCTCCAGCGTCATCTGATCCAACCCCCTGAATCACAGTCCTAAATCATCCTTATCTGATGCTTATCCAGTCTTGTCTTGCAAACCTCCAATGAAAGGAGTCCACAAGTTCCCTGGGTGGTCTCTTCCACTGCCTCGCTGGTCTCACAGAAAGCAAGTTTTTTTTCCTAATATCTGAGTCCAACAGTTCTCAGTCTCTTTAGACTCAGGACAACCCTTGGAAAATGCCAGCTCTTCACTGCCACTCACTTTTTTTTTAATGCAGAAAAAGAGAGGTAGACAAGGTTTTTTGGGTAAATCCACTATCTTTTTATTAGATCAACTCAAATAGTCAGAAAAGTTCTTCTCAGCAAGCTTTCAGGTTTCAATGCCCTTCGCCAGGCTGAGGTGTTGCAAAGAGCTATGAAAGACCACAATTGGCCAGAATCTTTCTGATGTGATGAATTCCTATGTGAAAGCTCTGGGTTTATATCTTATCTTGTGAATCATGCATAGGTGTTTGGAAAACAAACAGTGCTAAAATTGCAGGACACCCTTAAAAGGATCTCACAACACACTGGTTGAGAATCACTGATCTAGCCTGGTCCCCCTCTTTAACAAGTCTTTTTTTTCCAAGCTAAATGTGCCTAGTTCTCTTCATCTTTCCTCTAATACCTGTATCATTTTTACTGTCCTCTCATTCCTCCTCATCACCTTTACAATGTGCAGCCTACAACTGCACTTAATAACTCTAAATGGTTTAACCAGCACCAAAGACATTGTCCCCTGTGCCTGCCCTCTACCCCCACCCTTATCCCCCATGCCTGTGCCTGCCCCACAACCCAGCCATCTGTTCCCCCACATACATGCCTAGCCCCTCTACTCCTCCCTCCCCCTGCCACTTACCTTCTGCCGCTCTGCTCTGCTCCGGCTCTGGAGCAGTCAGTAGCCATGGTCCCAGTCCAGCCTCACCCTGCCCAGCCAGGTAGAAACAGCAGCAGCAGCTCTGGGCCCCAGTCTGGCTGGTTTGGAGCTGGAGCCTGAGCTGAAGAGAAGCAGCAAGGGAGAAAGCAAGCTCCCCCATGCTCCCCCTAAGCAACACACACAAGTCTCCCCCATGCTTCCCTGGTTGCCTGCCCCATCACACGAACCACCTTGGCCCCGGGGCAGGCAATGGCTCAGCTCCGAGCCTCTGCCTGCCCCAGCCCAGTACTCAAATCCAAGACAAACCCCACCCCCATGCCCTCTCAATCCTGACCAGGGGAGAAATGTGTCTTGGATCTGAGTAAATACATTATTCCTACATCTACTCATTTTCGGGTCAACCACTGCAACTCTATGCTGAATGAAGGAAGACTGAAAGGTGCGGTTAATTTGTCATTTAAAAATAATTTCCCACCACTTTTTTCCCCTAAGCAAATACCCAGTATTAAAAAAAACTCAAGTCTTAATTTTGCTTTTTTTCTGAAAGACTTTTCTGACTAATACATGTAAATTAGGAGCATTCTGGTTGCAAGTAGAAGGGATGGCCAGCTGAATACTTATCAGAGTTTTTCTCCAAAGTCTTACAGTAAAATGTGTGTTAACAAAACCAGCTGAGTTGTAGGTTGTTTAAGAACATAAGAACTGCCATTTACTGGGTCAGACCAGAGGTCCATCTCACCCAACATCCAGTGTCACACAGTGGCAGGGTGGATGCTGAAAGGGGGAGTGAACTGAGTATGATCAGAGTTTTTTCCCATTCCTCTCCCACTTGTAGCCTCCAGCATTTACGGTCTAGGAAATTCTGATTCAGAGGCTGTATCCCTAACTCTCATGCTCAGTAGCTACTGATGCCCCTTTTCCTCCAAGAATATGTCCATCCCTTTTTGAATCTGGCTAAGCTGTCAGCTTCCACCACATCTGGTGGCAATAAGTTCCACACTTCCATTGCACGCTGGTTGAAAAACAAACTTCCTTTTGCTGGTTTTCAACTTACTACCTATTAGTTTCATTTTGTGACCTGTTGTTCCATTAACTGTGTTCAGTTCTTTTGGTCCCTGTAGGGTCCACCAGCCAGTTCTCTGGTCCCCCATAGAGACCTCCAAGGCTCTCACCCCTGATCCTAACATTTAAAAAGAAACAAAAAGAAATTAAGACTTTCTGGGTTCCTTTAGGCTTCTAAAAGAAAGCACAACGAGCACCTTTTTGACTTTTCTC